CTGCCCAGTTCTGTCTAATCTTCATATGAGTTGGTGTCCCATTTGCTATTGGTTCCAGACCAAGGCATTTGTCGACCCTTTAAGGTATTACAATCGCAACCCAGTCTTGTACTTTTGTGTAAGTTGTGCAATCTCCATGGCTTTTACAGTCGTATGGTAAGCCTTGTCACAATTTTTGTCCCAGGGTTGAGCAACAAACAGATTTCTGATTTCCTTGGGAAAGAGGCTGCTTTGTCAGCTACTTTGAGGGACATGAAAGAGGCTGCCGATTGGATGTTCTTTGATGGTTTGAAGAGCTGTGGTGATAAGCTTATATGCTATCCCATGAGAGTTTTTCTCTTGCAATTTACTAGAAATTAAACAGTGGTTTATAAAAAGCTTAGCATTATTGACCGTTTGAGCAAGTAGAATAAGTAGGATAATTCTAACTTAATAAGCATTATAAAAACTTTTGTTAAGGACATTATATATCAAGTGTAAAACCTTTTATTACTTTTTTTCCTTTCCTTTTATTTTTTAGTTGTGGATTCATTGATCCAAGAGTAATTGACATTGCTAGTGATGAGAGTGTAAAGACCAGCATAAAAAGCATTTAAAAAATTTATCAAGTACTATTTTATTCATAAAAAGTAATAACCACATTAATAAGAATAATACTCCACTTGAATGCTAGAAGGTTTTTAATATTTCATGGTTCTTAAGTTGCAAGTGTATATTATGAGAAATTATATAAATAAAACATTTTCTCTAGCAAATAAAACAAATTAAATTGTAGTAAAATTTTGCTAATACATAATTATTTGAGTTTGGCTGCATCAATCATAATAAACTGTATGTAATACTAAATTACACATGAAAACCAAGTGTTGCAAAAATGCAATACATAACAATTTATTTTTATCATGTATTAAATTTTGTATTTATTATATATTTCCTTCTAGTGTTAACATTAAAATTGAGTAAGTAGTAAAAGCTATAAATCAAAATTTATGAGGGAAAATGTGAATAACAATAAATAATATGAGTATTTGATTAAGTGTAGTAACTTTTGAAGGAAATCAAGATCCTTACAAATTATATAGACAAAAAAGAGTGAATAAAAATTTAGTGTGAATCATAAATTGAGCACAAGCAATTGAAAGTGAATGATAATATATAAAAAGCTGATAAGAACCCAAATGAATGATATGTATTTTTCTTGAAATTATAAGTAACTTTTTTTTGTAGTGATGAATATAATTTCTATGTTAAATAAATTAATTGGTGGGGTATAAAGAATGTTATCCACCACATAACAAAAAGTAATCATATAAGTAACTTATTTAAATCCCTCATCATGCTTTTTAGGGCTATGTAAATAGTATATGAATAAAACAGCAAAGAAGTAAAAATGCAGAAACTAAAGTGAAATTTCAAAATAATATATTGTACTATGCAATAATACTTGATTTTATTTGTTTTAAATGTGTTTTCTATGCTAATAAAAACAACTTTATGGTCTATCCAATATACTAGTGCTTGTACCTATTTTAAAGCAATTTATATTTTTTATGTTAATTTTTTTTTATTTCTTGTTGTTTCTTTTATTTTTTGGGTATATCCTTATTTTTCCAGCTCAGTTTATAATCTAAGAAGGATTATCTGAAAAGAAAAACAGGATTAGCTAAATATAGTAATATTCCTTTTATTAAAATCAGAAGCCAAACTCTTTGCCAGCTCCCTTCAGCTCATAACCTGAGAGCATTTATACCACAACTAAGCTTATCTATCACATGGCTTGTTGTCAACTTGGAATCTAGGCCTCTAGCCCCTTCTTGCACTAGCACATCCACCAGTAGTAGCAGCACTATCACCTCCTCACTAGCTAGATTGTCATGCAATTCTCATGCTTATTGCTGCCCTCTTCTCCACACAAGGCTGCTTAACTGCAGTGTCAATTCTAGTTGAGGCCTAGGCACTAGAACTAAATTCTAGTTCTTGTGCATAGGCCTCAACCCATGCTTCACATACTCACTAGGCCTAATTATTGAAATTGCAGAACTTACAGAATCATGCAAGAGGTAAGCTATATTTTTCTTATGTGTGCAATCCATTTATAATGAGAAAATCTGGCTTCTAGAATTTCAAACTCTCCAAGTAGTTTTGAAGTGGTGCAGGAGATATTGTTGCCACCGCTAAGAAACTTAGATTGGATCTTGACTACACGAAACAGCACTAAGAGATCATTGCCTCATTTCTTCATAACTACCAACTATCCTTAGAGGAGGTAAGTACTAAACTACAAGAAAAGATTACTTTCTTACTTGTGCTTCTCTTTCACTCAAGTGTATGCTCAGAGGGAGGACGAACTCAATCAAAACTTCTTCAAAAGCATTGTAATGTGTCCAGAAGATGCATGTGAATTATAAACTTTTAGTCCAAAGACACTACCAGGTAATAAACTATTTTTGTTTGTCCGAATTTGGTGTCATGACAAATTTTTCTTGTTCATGGTTTATGACAGTTTATCAAGAGGGTGCATTCGGGCTTAACTCAGTGTGCAACAGGCTCAAACATGCTGGTATTGCTTGGGTGAGCTTTAGGAACCTGACCAATGTGCTGCTGCCAAAGCAAGTTGTAGACTCAAAAACGAGCATAGTTTCTAGCAGCGTCCAAGAGGCAAAGGGATTCCAAGGATGCTTCATGCTAGAGGTGAGAGCTTTGGGAATAGTGATGACCGCCCAGGTATCGGTAGTGCCTCAAACTTACAAAATGTGGAGCAATCCAAGTAACCACGATGTGAGCCAGGTGCACCTCAAGTGTGGTTGCTAGCTGAAGATCAGGAGAGGTCTTTTGGTCCACACCACCTTTGTGTAGACTTGACAACACTCCAGGTTTTGAGGATACATGCCGCCGATAGGAGTTTGCGCTTCAACAACCAGCCTGAGATAGCATTCGTATCTCTCAATGCAAGCATTTGAGTGTCTATGCAGGTCCTTTTAATGTTTGGTATCAGATCTGGTAATAGTGATCTCTTGGTTTTCTTTTCAAATGGGTCCAATCTGAATGCCATAAATAACAATGATCATCCAGAGGTTAGCAAGCTTCTCAAGACAGCCTCCAGATTTTTGAACGAACATCTTGTTCTGTTCAAGTACTGAGCTAGGAGGTAATGAAGATTTCTTTCTCCCAATCTTCATATAAGTCCATTTGCTATTTGTTCTAGACCAAGGCATTTATCGACCCTTTAAGGTGCGCATGGTGCAAGTCTTACAATCGCAACCCTGTCTTGTACTTTCATATAAGCTGTGCAATCTCCTTGGTTTTTACAGTCATGTAGTAAACTTTGTCACAGATTTTGTCCCGGGGTTGGGCAACGAGCAGATTTCTGATTTACTTTGGGAAAAAAGAAGAGACTGCTTTGTCAGCTACATTGAGGAAGAGGCTGCAGATTGGATGTTCTTTGATATTTTCAAGAGCTGTGGTGATAAGCTTCTGTATGTTTTATCTTGCAAATTACTTATAAAGAACTTAGCATTAAACCAACGATAGCAGTGGGAAATCTTGACCGTTGGATTAACATTATTCCAGAATTTACTTGAATATTCTAAAGATACTAAATGTCTTATTTACATTTGCAGGTAAAACAACTTCTTCAAGAACCCTAGAAACAGAGTCTATCTATCAAGCACCGGATCCGGCAATAGCTTCCCGCTCCGCCGGAGATAATCGATGTATGCCAGGATCTCATCTTCCTTCCTGGAGTCGACTCCCCCAATTGGAACCCTATATGGCTGCCCACTCGGGATATACATCGTGTTGCCCATGACAGCGCCGCTAAAATCCCCCTTTGAAGCCAGCGACAGCATCATGTTGACATAGGCATCGCGGAGCCGCCTCAAGAGCTTGATGGGCGAGAGCAAAGAGGATAGAAATCCCAGACGAATCTTGGGCCTCGCCAGACGAATTCGAAATCTCATCTTCCTGGGCATAGCGGCAAACCTGGTCTTCCTCCTGCTGCCCATTCGAATCGCTGGCCTCTTCTTCTTGGATTTCTTCTTGCCGAGGAAGCCCACATCTTCATCGTCGTTTCGCAGCTTCACGTAGTAGGATCGATCGTTTCCTCCGAAGGAATTGTAGAGCCTTGGGACGATTCCAGAGTACTTTGAATCTGCTGCTGGGAGAGGAGCCGGAGATGGGCGAGGAGGAGACGCTGCTTGCATCATCTTGATTGAGAGAGGAGAGATCTCCTAGCGTTCGCAAAGCGCAGCACTGAGGAGATCTGCTTAAAGGGTCCGAGAAAACGATGCCAAGAAGCGATTTTGATGCGACAGTCGCCCACGGCGGCGCATTGGGTGCCTGAATCGAGCAACAAAACAGACCTTGTGAGAATAGAAAGCAGGGAAATCACTCAAGAACAGCCGGTAAACCACGAGCAACGTGTGAAGAACAAAACAGATGGATAAAGAAAGAGAAGAAGAGAAAAAAATCTATCAAACAACTTGCCTGTGTGTAAGAGCTTCCACAAATCGTTGGCGCCTCACCGAAAGAGAAATGGACAGCTCTTCCTCGCTGTTCTCGAGTGCTTCTTGAATAAATCTTCTAATAAGACTGTGTGTGTGTTTTTTTCTCCTTTCCGCCTATAGTCAATGCGCGAACCTTTGAATGTTTGTTGCCTGCCTGCAAGCAAGTCCATGAGAACGATTCGCGAGATAGGAAAAACATACCGCAACTCGCAACACGCAACACCAAAAGTCTCGGCGTCCCAAAATTTTAATACGAGGAGGAGAGTCCTGTAGATCGGATTGCTTTCGATTCGACGCCTTGCGGATTTAATACAGTTCCTTGCCTGCAAGCTACACCACCAAACATCAGCGTCAACAATAAAGGAGTTAGATGGCGAGCTTACGACTTTCGCGCATTGTTTTTTGGTGCTCCAGATGGTGCGAATCTGGACCGTCCGCGCATCTCATCCGACGTCTCCGAGCGAAAGTCCATCGTTTCAATGTAGAAGTCAGATGTGGCGAGCTCAAAGCATGAGTATCTATCGTTTCTTTGTTGACGAATTTACTCAATCGATGGAACGATTGACCCGGGACGGCGAATTTGTCAGCTCTGTTCCTATAACTTCTGAAAGTTCCTTCGAAAGAATTGCGATAAAGCTTGCTGCCTGTGAGCTTAGACTCAGTTGTCAGTGCGCTTCTCGAAAGAATTTCGAGTAGAGTTTGCTTATTCCACCTGATCCTCATTGTCGACACTTTTAGATCTCCAAGTTCCTGTTTAGGAGGAAATCGACAGTCGAGCAAACGAAGTACAGTACCGTGAAAGATTGACGAACCTGGAAATTCGGCTAGTTGTTCATACTGTCAGGAATGCCTGTGAGCTTGGACTCAAAGTTGTCAATGCGTAAAGTTTGCTTACTTCGAATGAATAACTCATCACCTCATTGCCGACGAGTTTAAATCTCCAAGTTCCTATTTAGGAGGAAATCAAGTGTCGAGCAAAAGAAGAACAGTACCGCGAAAGATTGACGAACCTGAAGAATCGGCTAGTTGTTCTCGGATGGCAATCCTGTTGATTTTTTGGAGCACCAGCAATGCTTGTGAGCCTCACAAACAACGCGAGGACAGGGATCACACTCAAGCAGGCTAGATCCACAACTTTCCACCATTTTCCACTTGCTAAGCTTGAAGCTCCAAATCCAGCACTTTCCCAGACTTTCTCTGCCACTTCCTCCACCGCAAAAACTACGCCCTTGTCATACTTCCCTCGCTTGAGTTCCGACAAAACTTTGTTCCTCACAACTGATCTCAGCCATCCAGTTTTCTCTGGATCCCATACACTCCCCGCGACTGTAACATCCCCTTTGAGAAGTTTCGATATGTTCCAGCCAAGTTCTACTTCTAGCCTCCCCTCCGAAGTAACCAGCAAGAACAATAGACCCCTTCCCTGAGACTCATCTTCGATCTTCCATCTTTTATAAAGACAGGAAGTAAACTCTTCGGCTGGTAAGTTGGTGCTCTTGATCGTCACTACCGTAACTTCAGCACCAGTGTCGAACTTCAACGCATCGATAACCGAGTTGAGATGCTCGACGGTGGAGCGACTGAGGACGTGAGCTTGATCCGATACCCAGCAATTCCAGCTTCGAGGATTTGGGACTTGTAGCACGGATCCATCCTCGGGAGCTCTTTGGATTGTCATGTCCACCAGGCTTGCGCCGAAAAGTTTGTTCTTGGAGTTTCGAAATTCGATCTTCCTCGAGAATCTATCCTCCGCATGCCTGTGTGAGCGATGAGAATCTTCCAGATTTTTTTCTCGCGGCACCTGTGTTCTAATGGAAGCCAAATGCGGATGAACGAGCTCTGGAAATCTTCTTGGCCCTCTTCGAAAGCTCGGGATCGTTGTGAAAACCAGAAATATAGATGTGGCTAGAGCTGCCAACTGGCGAAGAAAGCAACCGCGCAGCAAATCGAGAGATCCCAATCCAATGCCGGTGCTGGAAGATGAAAATCCGTCCTTCCTCGGAGGAGAATCGTGCATCTGTTCCATCAGAAGCCGCAATCTCATCTTTCTAGCAGCAATTCCCGTCCTCCGGCCTCGAATTCCAGCTTGCGATCGCTGGTCGCGCCGGCCGTAATCCCTACCTCGATTCGCAGCGCCAGCGATGAGCTCGTTCCCACGAGCGCCAATATCCATAGCAATTTAGGGCTCTTCCAAAAGCATCCAACGGTTGTAGATGTGTCGGGGAATGAACGGCTGCGATGCAAGAGCAAATGAAAGTAAAGTAGCTTATATAACCCTAGAAGCAGACAGTGAGCTAAAGGGCTAGGGCAATGGAGGCGACACATGGAGTGGAGGACGAGCACGAGGTCTATGGCGGCGAGATTCCAGAGGAAGTGGAGGGCGATCTCGAGGGCGACCAAGGCGACGATGCTGGCGGCGACGATCCCACCTCCACGGTAAGCTCAGCGCCTTCCTAGGGTATGGATGAATCGATTGCTCATTGCGATTGTTCCAGGAGCTGGAAGAGATGAAGAAACGCCTCAAGGAAATGGAGGACGAGGCCGCTGCATTGCGTGATATGCAAGCCAAGGTCGAGAAAGAAATGGGCGCTGGGCAAGGTGAGATTTTTCGGTCACACTTGGTGTAACTTCGTAGATTTTGTGTCGCTTATTTCGTGTTCTTGTGTTTGTGTGCTTGTAGATCCGGCTGCTGCTGCCCAACAAGCGAGCAAGGAAGAAGCCGATGCTCGCTCGGTGTATGTTGGAAACGTAAGTTTTCTTTTCTTCTCTTCTCGTTGCCTTGGAACTTAGTGAGTGGTATGTTCTTAGGTGGATTATTCGTGCACACCAGAGGAAGTCCAACAGCACTTTCAATCCTGTGGCACTGTTAACCGGGTTACTATTTTAACTGACAAGTTCGGACAGCCCAAGGGGTAAATCTTCGCAAAAACGTTTCCCTGTGCCGGTTCTAATGCTGATGATCGTTTCTCTGCTTACAGATTTGCCTATGTCGAGTTCCTGGAAGTCGAAGCTGTCCAGAACGCTCTCATACTAAACGAATCAGAGCTTCACGGTCGGCCTATCAAGGTAAGGATTTCCGTCGGTGTTTTGGTATCTCCTTTTACTCACTCGGATTGCTCACAGGTTGCTGCTAAGCGGACTAATGTTCCTGGACTCAAGCAGCACCGCGGCCGTGGCGGCTTTGGAGCTCCTTATATGCCTTACTTCCCGAGAAGGCCTTACATGCCTTACCCATCCTATCCATATCCTTACGGCTTTGGGTACGTAGTTGCAAACCTTTGCTCGATCTATCACTCACGCCCTTGCTTCTGTGATCTCCAGAAAAGTTCCTCGATTCCGGAGGCCCATGCGATACAGGCCTTACTATTGATCTATTTATCTCTCCATTGCTGCTCGAAAGCAGGTACTAGGGAAAAAAGGATAATCGATAGGAAAGAAAAAAGATGAAAAAAATATGTATTGGAGAAAAAAAACTGGCAAAAAAAAGAAGAAAAACAAAGAAAAACCGAGAGAAAAAAACTGAGTAAAAAAAATCTGGCGGGAGAAGCAAGCCCAGCTCAAGCTCAAGTTTTACATCACAGAGGTTCGTGATTTTTATTTCTTGCTTGAATTTTTTCCCCTGTGGCTTGCCTGTGTAAATACGATGCGATGAATATTCTTTGATAACCATACGAGCTAAGCGAATTAGGCTGATTCGGGTATATCCCTTCCTCCAAAAAATTGGGCGTCACAAATTTTTAGGGTTCCGTCGCGTTCCTCATCCTCTGTGCGAGAGCGGCGGCATTGCAAGGGCGCGGCTCTCGGCGCGAGCTGGGCGCGCGGATTCTCCTCGCTTTCGCTACTGTTTGGAAGGTCTGGTCTTCGATTTAGGGCGGGCGAGCGAGCGAGCGAGCGAAATCTCGAGAGAGGAGATGGAGCTGTGAGCTGTGAGGTGTTCTTCCATTCTAACGAGGTCTTTTCTTAGTTTGTAGAAGGAAAAGTAAAAGGGGGAGGGAGAGAGAGAGATGGCAGCTCTAGATGTAAGTGGTGTGGAGGATTCGAGCTGTGGAAAGGATGGGCCGGTGTTGACGATGATGAACAAGCGGCTGCGAGCGCTCAAGAAGAAGTACAATCGAATCGTCCAGCTCGAGGAGGCCAAGGAGAAAGGCAAGGCTATCAACAAGGAGCAGGAGGATGTTCTCAAGAGCAAGGTCCAGGTGCTGACGCTGATGGAGGAGTATGATCGCCTCCGGCAACCTTTGCTCGTCGCGGTGAGGGAGGAGATTGCCGAGAAGGAGAAGGAATGGATTGCTACCAAGGAGGAGCAAGTTTCTGGAGTGGCTTCCAGCGAGAACTTGGAGGAGGCCAGAACCGAGTCGGAGGAGGCCAGCAATGAGACCCTGGAGAATGCTGGTAGTGGCGAGGCTGACAATGTTGGTGGTGGTGGTGGTGATCCTGCCTTTGCCGCTGCTGCTGCTGCTACTCCCGCTGCTGCTACCGAGGAGAACGAGAAGATCGAAGTTCCGGTTGACAGTGGCAGCGTTGCTGGACTGGACGAGCATCTCATGCTGGAGCTCATCCAGCTCCTCTACTTTGCGCTGCTCTTCGACGTCCAGTCCCAGGGGGAGGCTCACTCGTTCATGCGGACTGTCAAGTACCACGAGAGAGTTTCGTGCCTGTCCTACGATCTCGTCACCGACGATTCCACTTCGCATCTCACCGACGCCGACTTGGACGCCCTGGCTGCGTTTGGATCGCTCATGACTTCTCGACCGCCAAACACGACGCTATCGCACCGGGACGCTCTCCAGGCCTGTATCGCTCATGCGAGACACTGGCTGCTCAACTCGGACGCGATCATCGACGCCAACATCCTCAACGTGACATGTATCCACTGGCTCTCGTGTTTTTTCCTTCGTGTTTTTCCTTAACTTTGTTCTTGTTTTTCTCATAGACACTGAGCTGCGAGACAGACTAAACAGGATATTGGCGACCGAGTACTTCACCATGACGCCTGAGCTGCAGACTGTAACATCAGAGATCGCAGTGGGACAGTTTGGACCCGAGCTTGGGGTAAAGTTTTCAACCTTGGAAGCTTATAGTTCGCATAACTTTCAGGTCCCTCAGGAACACTACGTAAATGGCGACGCTCCCACCGAAAACGTCTCCGACAGCTCCGGGGCCAATTCCGAGGCCTTTCAGGTTTAGCTTCATCTTTCATGTTTTAGAGGCTGAGATTTATGGTTTTTCTAGCTGGACGTGAATCCAATCAAGAGCTTGCCTCACGAGGAAGCCCAGCCAGCCGAGGACCAACGACAACCCGATGAAACCACTCCTCGCCAACATCAACCGCAACAAGGATTCCAGCAGAAGTTTAGAGGAAACCGTGGCGGCGGCGGCGGTAACGTTGGCGGTGGCGGTGGTGCTAACTATCCTCGTGGACGTGGCCGTGGTGGCGGTAGAGGCTATCGCGGCGGCGGTAACTACGCACCGGCAAATGGTAACCGAGGCGGTGGTAACGCAGGGAACGGTGGTGGCCAGTACTACGATCAGAGTGGCTACTACCAACGCAATAGCTACTATGGAAGTGGAGGAAATCGTCGCGGTAGAGGCTACTACAGCAACAACAGCAGCTCCAACAACAATAACGCTCCAAATCACGCAAACGGGCCGTCGCCAGCAGTGGCAAGTTAACAGGAATCGTCGGGAAAGCGCGAAGTTCCAAAGCTATGAATTTTTCATTCCGGATATTAGTGGAGATTTCTTCTAGCGAGCTATACACAATTTCTACATTGCCAGTCGAAGTTTCGAAACTATGAATTTTTCTGTGTCAAGTGGCTCATCTCACCTCTAAGTGTCCGTTAGAACCCTAAAAATCATTTGGAACGCTCGAGAACCCGTTCAAGAACCTTGCGCGCTAGCTCCTGGTCTGTCGCAGCACGGAGATAACCCTCGCGGAAGGACTCCCAACCCCGGCTCCCAGGCTTGGGCGTATACGTGATGGTGTTTGGGGGAAGGTCGTCCCCGGCAAGGACAGTAGCGGCTACCTCCACATCCACACTCTTCCCGGCATCGAAGGATTTCACCACTCCGAAGTCGAGGCAGAAGAGCGATGCGATCGTGGATTTCGTCGTCGCGGCATCGGAGCCCAAGTAGAATTCGACATCCCTGCCATCCACCAGCATTTCAAAGTGAAGAAAGCCCAGGAATTCGCCCATGCTGCGCGCAAGCTCGGCCGTGTCCATGCCCATTCTCTCCGCCGTGTCCCAGTCCACGAACCCGTACTTAGAGCGCGGGCTTGGATCCATTATCGGAAATTCGCGTCCGCAGAGGTAGAGCTTGCAAATCTTGGGCGGCCCAGTCGTCAAACCCTCAGCGCCAGCGTCCCAAAGAAGCACAGGCAACGGAAATACGCGGTCCATGAGAAAACACGGCTCATCCTTGTCGGCGACGATTTCTCCCTGGATCAAAGCCTGCCCGCCCTCCGCCGTCGCGAAATTCTCTGCCGACACGAAAAAACCCAGCGGCCGCGGTACCGAGACTCCCCGATCTTGTTTGGCGCTCCAAGCTAGCGAAATCTTTTCGAGAGTGGAATACTCGTAATCCAAGCCCGCGCCCGCCTTTCCGACCTTGAGCGCCATCGATTCTCCTGCGGCGTACACGGTTCCGTACTTTCCAGCTCCCAAAACCTGCGCCTTTGCCATTGCCATTGCCAAAGTTCTCAAGAGGAAGAAGAAAAACGGATATGCCCTAGAATCTAGGGTTTAAATTTTTAGGGTAGCGGTATGGAGAGCTCCAAGCCGACGCTTGTGCTGGACATCGACAACACGCTGGTATGTGGAAGGGCGACCAAGCGGCCGGGGCTGGATGAATTCCTGGCCAGAGTAAGCAAACTCTACGAGATCGTCGTGTTCACATCCGGCAACCGAGAGCGCGCGGATCGGATCATCGACCACATTCTCAAAGTGAATGTCGCGCGCCGCCTCTACAATGATTCTTGCGTCCGGGGCACCAAGCCGCTGGAGATTTTGGGAAAGGATTTGAGAAGAGTGGTGGCCATAGACGACAATCCACTCGCGTTTGCGGGCAATGAGGAGAATGGCTTGGCGGTTGTGCCCTTTTCGGAGTGGAGCATGGAGGAGGAAGAGCGCGAGAAGAATTTGATCAAGCTACTGCCGCTGCTCGAAGGGATTTCGTCGCTGGAGGATTTGAGGCCGCCGCTTAAGCAGTGGAAGGAAGGCATTGAAAGTGAACTGAAACTTCCTTCTTCTTGTTAGAAACACTCTAAAAACCTCATGCTTTGATATGATCAATAAACTCAACGCTCCTAGTTTTCTAGCAGTCACTCGAAAGTTTTTTTCTAGGCTTCTCCTGCCCTGGAAACGGAGATATCAAGGATAGATTATGTGGTTGTGGTCTTGACTGTGCCCCTCCTGTTTTTCCATGGCACTGCTGCTGCCAGGCCCTTCCAGTCGGCGAGCACCATCAAGACTTCAAAACCAGCATCGTTGCCAAGCAGAGCGAGAAAATCTCCAGCCATTTCATTAGGATCACCGGGAATTATCAATAGCAACGGAAAAGCAGGAAGAACACCACCGGCAACAAAGGAAAGAAAACCAACATATAACAGCTAAATGCATGAACAAGGCGATTATTTTAAATCTAAAATAATAACTTTTTGATCTCGAGAATCATGGTGAAGCTGCAAACAATGACTAGCTTTGTCAAAAGCGAGGTTTTCTTGTTAATCTGGTCTTTCAAGGCCCTTGAAGAAACTATAGAGAAATCAGCAAAATTTTGTCTCACTGCCCGCGTAGAACAGGTTTAGGGTTTAGGGTTTTTGACATGCCAATTGCGCTTTAAAAGTGTAACACTATCAAAAAGATCTCTAGTATAAAAAAACATATATGATCGTTTTCGGCTATAAAAGTAGTTTCCCTACGCACATTTTAACAACCATAGACATACTAAGTTTGATGCTAATTATTAAATCCTATATGGCTAAGATTATTGAATAAAATGCATCGTTGTTACAGTTTTATAGTTTGATATAGTGTTCATATATATATTTTATACTAGAGATCCTTTTGATAGTGTTACACTTTTAACTAATTTTTAATTTCTTTCTTAATAATCTTGAAATTTAGTAGCTTCATCAAGATGTAGAATCAACATAAATAAAGTGAATAATCTGTAATTAAAATCATAATGTATATCATATATAAAGATAGATGTTTTTACAGTCAGTGGCAAGGGGACTAGCTCCAGACGGCCTTGTGTATCTCTTGAATGAGATCAAGCTATTGTTCTAGATCTACTTGTCAGTGTGGCTATTGTTGAATCACCCAGAATGGTGGTTATGATCTGCGTATGAAAGTCTAATAGTGTGGAAAATACAAATGCAAGTTGGGCATTTGACAATAAGGTAATGGTTTCAATTTACATAAACAGAGGAGTTAGACTTGTTATAGATAAAAGAAAATAGAGTATCAGGAACAAATTGCACCACATTGCCTTCCCTAAAAAAACATATGTTCCACAATGAAAAGAGAAAACAAGTGTTTCCACATGATTTCCCACTGTCTCTCCGCTCCGATCCTACTGTGTCAACATCGGTAACAAGGGATCGGACAGCTTGGACACTGCTTTACGCAACTTTTTTGTTAGATGGTGTCAGGTAACATGCGTGTGGTACTTAGCAGGTGAAGAAGAAAACATATGAAACGCAATGAGGGAGAAAGGATGAAAAAAAGGCAATAGGGATGAGTTACTGCCATAAGGTGAGGACAAAATATGTCCAAGCTTGACAAATTGGAATAAAATCTACCTCACCACGATGCACAAGAAAATTATGATAGCAGACGAGGCTTGAGAAGTGGCACAGGATTGTCTCAACCATTCTCGATCACTACTAGGAGGTGGTGGAGCATCTTGATCTAAGCTGTAAAGAAGCTGAGAAAAATTCAAAAACATAAGAATCACCCTTTTAGTGACCTTTACAAGAAAAGTGGGTGATAGTACATTAGATTTTCCTTGTTGGTAGAACCATGCCATCTATAGCATTGTGAAGTTGGAATTATAATATTTCACTCAAATAGAGCATGTTAAAACATTGTGTATTTACAGAACAGAAAAAACATTATTAAAGATTCTATAGTGCTATTAAAAAATATTAGGTATTATAGAGGATAAGATAAAGGTATGAAATTAATTTTTCCATAATTAAAATTTTGAGCGAAGAATAAAATTTTGTTATACTTTTTATTATGTGCTTATTATCTAAATTATTTGTGTTTTGATAGTTAAAAAATTAACACATCTTTGGAATCTTTGAAACTAAACACCATGTTCTTGAGATGATGATGACTGGGATTAGCTCTGGATTCTAGTCAAACAAATTTCCAACTATTTGTGATAATTCTTTTCCCAGTGGAGCTGTAGTCAATGATTATATGATATTTATGAGTGATGTTAGGAGGACCTCCACTTGGAGAAGCAATATTCTATATGATGATTAGTCCAAGTGCCCACTTGTTTGTGTGTATTCTTAGTTAAGCACAAGCAATAAAGTGGTTATCATTACCGACCTAAAATTAATTGTCAAGGTTGTAGGTATAAAATTAGATTATCTACATTCTAATTCCGTCTCCAAAAACCTATGTCAACGGTCAACAAAATAAAATAACTAATGGTAAAAAGGCGCTGGTCCACCATGTCGACAGCAATCTTTACCGCTCCAGCACCAGTTCGTTCCCCGGAGCAGCACTGCAGCATCCACAACCTGTTGGATTAAACGATGTCCTGAACATCACCAGGAGAATTATTAAAACATGGCATAAAACAACCAAGTTTCTTGTGATCGCAGCTCTCTCATTCATCGCGATCTTTCTCAGATCGAGCATGAGCCATCCAGCAGACTGTCCCTTAGGCGCTGCTGCGGAGAGAGGCGAGGAGATGGCGCTCAAGGTGCGCAGCGTTTTGGAGGCTGAATGGGAAGCGTCCTGGCGTTGAGCTGAGCGCATAGCGTACACGGTTTGCCAGTATGAAAACCATACAAAATGCAAAGGAAAAAGAAATTGAACAAAGGATTCATGTGCAAGTGAGCACGTACTTACTCTCCACAGCGCGACGTTCGTCCACTCCAGCGCTTCCTAGAACCGAGACGAGCAAAGGGCTCGCACTAGGTAGAGAACATCGCTGCAAGCGCCTTTTTGTTGACTTTGGCAGTGATGGGCGTCCTTGGCAGCTCGGGGACGAAGATGACGTCTTTGAATCCGCATGTACCACTCTGGTGCAAGCTTCCCGACGAAGGCAAAGATGGCGTTGGCATCCCTGGGTGGATCCATGTCGACAAATGCCACGGGAACGTGACCGTAGGTTCGCTCTGGTTTGCCCACAACTGCAACCTCTCGGACTCCCGGACACTGGAGCGCGATGGCCTCGAGCAGCTGGCACGGAACCTGATTGCCTTTGACCTTGATGATGTCCTTTTCACGTCCAACTAGGTGGAGCCGGTTGTCCGAGTCGAAAAATCCGATGTCCCCCGTGTCCGCAAACCCATCCTTGCCACGCACAGTAGTGACCACGCCGTCTCCCCTCACCCAGCGACGGCCCTGTTCTGGAAGGAGGTAGCCCGCGTTTGCCGTGGTTCCCATGGAAATCTGGCCGCCCTCCGTCATCCCGTATTGCTGTACCAGGCGCACGGGTGCCAGGTGAGACTCGATCTCCTGTCACTCAGGGAATGCATCGCCCCCGTAGAAGATACGTTTGAGTGTTCCCAAAGAGCCCGTGGGGATGGGGTACGTCATGCCCGCGATCAGCACTGTGGGGAGTGCGCACAGGTCACTAATGCCAAAGCGTGCAACACTTTCCCACGTTCTTGCGATGACATCGTCTCGGGGATCAAACACAAAGGTGTGGCCCCGAAAGAGTCTGCTGGTTGTCACGGCCAGACCATAGAGCTCATGTGCACGCCTCCCCCGCCCTCTTGCACCCTCATTGCTGCGATAGATCTCACTCTAGCGTCGAGGTTGGATACCTGAGGCGCTGCTATACCAGAGAGGAGCATGAGATTGTCCCTCGGATCCACGAGTGCCACAGCCGCCTTGCGTTTCCAGATTCCCACCAGGAGAGGATGGAACCCCTGGTGATGACAAGAACAATGCCGAAATCCCGGCTGAGCAGCGCTCCTGAGGATGCATCGATGATCGCGGCCCTACATGGCATGGTGAGCGAAATCCACAGCAGCTCGGATGGATCTGAGAGCATCATGGAAACTCGCCCCCACGCAAATTTCAAATAAGCCTATTTTGAGGGATATTCCGTTGACAGCTGCATTTAGACGGCTTGGATGTAACCATTCTAGGCAGTTGCATTCGAGCGGCTTGGATGTCTCTAGAGTCGGACAGCCAGCCTCTTATTTTATTTTATTTTTATCCTTGGTATCTGCCCCTCCATTACCGCTTTCTCCGCTTCCTCTCGGGCAGTCAGATCTCACGCTAGCGCGCCGGGCATGATCCTGGCCGGATTGAACTTCGATATAAGCATGAGTCGCTCGTTACCAGTGAGCGGAAAGAAAACGAAAAATCTCGAGCTTGATCCTTGCCTGATATTTCTTGGTGGTGGTGGCTCCGGCTCACTCGCTGAGCAAAATCCTTTGTTGCCCTGGATAGAGTGCTTGTGAGCAAAATGCCCCTTGGAAGAGAACAAAGACATACTTTGCCGATTGTGTAGAGATCGCTGTTGGTGTTGGTGCTCATGCAGTGTTCGAATCTAACCCTTCAATGAATACCATCCAGCTTTGTGGTCGGCCCTAAAGCGGCGATGGAGGGGAGCATACAGGAAGTAAGTCATCCGGCGCCGCCGCCGCCGCCGCCACGGCAGCGCCAGCAGCATTACCAGCAGAAGATGCCGATGGCGCTGTTCCCAGGCAGTCTGTACGTATCCCCTGTGACCGTGGAGCAGTGGAAGTGGCTGGCTTCCAGGCCCGCAGCTCGCGACTCGCTGGGACTCATCAACTGGCCTGCTGAGGGTGGCGGGGAAGGAGGCGACCGTTGTTTCACTCGCCTCGACTCGCTGGCCGCCTCCCAGCTCTCGTTGCCGCAGCGATCAGTGCAAGACGGGCGTGTGAGCGTCCACTTCCCCTTGGCGACGGACAGGCTCCTCCAGCTCCAATACCAGGACCACATGCAGGAGATTAGCATGGCGAGGCTGCTCAAAGATATGGATTGCCTGGGAGGGCACGTCTGCCGCAAGGTGAGATCACCATATCTATCTCTCTTCCAAGGATGCTAACTTGGCTGTGCTGCAGCATTGCCTCGGAGACGAAGGTGCCTCGAGGCCGCTTGTGTTCTTGACGGTACTCTTGGACGGCCTGGTCATCCACAAGCCGCTGCTGTTCGATGTGGACGTGGAGCTCATTGGCACAGTGCAACGAGCCGGCCGCAGCTCCCTCCACGTACATATCCAAGCTGTGCAGCACCAAGCTACTGCCCTGGAGGCTGGCCTCGTCTTCGTGGCCCGCGACAGGATAACTGGCAAGCCAGCGCGGGTGAATGCTCTTGAAGCCAGACGCGTGGATGTGGATGATCACCACGATCATCACGCCGCGCCTGGAGCCTGGCAGCAACTTGTGGGATGCATGCTCGACGAGGGGCGGCAACTGCTGGCGGCGGGAAGCAAGGATGATGCTAGTGCTGTCTTGATCCAGAGGACTCGACACCAAACGTGTTTTGTGGTGGAGCCTCAGCAGCTCAACTCGCAGGGATCAGTGTTTGGGGGGGAGCTCTTGGCTGCAGCTTGTGGGCTGGCCATGTGTACTGCATATGGCTTTGCCGCGCACTTTGGCCACGGCCGCAGTAGACCACGGCTCAAGCACGTATATCACGTCAAGTTCTTGGAGGGGGTGAGTGAGCTTGACGTTGATCCTTCCTGGTGCTAATCCTCTGTGCGTCCAGGCCAAGCTCGGGACTTCTGTGCAGCTGGAAGCGTTCGTCATGCGGACGGAGCCGGAGGAGGAGTGCAGGGGTGAACAAAGGATTCACGTGCAAGTGAAGATTACTGCTGGATCAAAGGTGGCTCTCCCCTCTCCCTCTCCCTTTACCGACTGACTTGACGTGGTTTCTGGCAGGAACTTGCTCTCTACAACGCGATGTTCGCGTGTGAGTCCACGCCAGCGCTTCCTAGAGTGCTACCATCTAACCGAGACGAACAGAGTGCGCTGGTGGAGCTTGTCAAGGCGTGGGACGCTCGCACTAGGTAGACAACACCTTTTTGTTGATGTATACCACTCTGGTACCAATGCCCCATTAGTGGATGCTGAAGGTTTTCTCTTTCACCTTTAAAATAAAAATGACAACTGTGAAATTAATTTCGTAATGACGTTCGGTCATTCATGAAACATCCATAAACTCATTCATAGAAGTGGATCTCAAACAAATTGCTTCTCAAAAAACATCACCTATTTGGTTGAGCTCTGTTTTGGATCTTGGAGCGGCAGTAGTGGAACAACGTTGGGATCTCTGGCTCCGCGCACCTCTTGACAGATTCAAAGGTGACGAACTGGCTCGGAGGGGAGGACGTTCCAGTCGTAGCCAAACTGTCCATGAAGCCTCGCGTCTTAGCCACCGCGAGTGGCACAATGGGTCTCCCGCTTCCAGTTCCACGAGGACACATTGCAAAATGAACTTGCGCATTTCCGCAGGAGCATTTCTACAAGATGGAACAAAACGAAAAGGTGCGGATGGACGTCTCTGCATGCTTCAAAACGAGAAGAGAGGACGCTGTGCTCCTCAAGCTACCTGAGAGCAGTGGTTGAGCTCGATGGAAAATGCACAAAAGCAAAGAAACCCGTACCTATGGCTCAACAGCCTCCATCGCGCCAGAGATCCCTCTGAAGCTCACAGACAGCTTTGTTGGGGATGATTTTTCCCAGGGACTCCAGCACGTAGTCGTTGATCCGCTGGCGCTCGGACGGAGAGGCGCACTATTGAAGATGTCGGTTAGACCGCGATGCCTGTTGAAATCGAGGCTGATGGTTTTAAAAAGGCAGATTGACTCGGGGGGGATTACAGGGAGCACCACAACTTGCTCTGGTGGAACTCCTGGTTTAGGGTTGAGCAATGGCCACCACGTATCCAACAAAGACAAGACAGAGAAAATAAAAAAAGGGAAGACAGGATACATAGCAGTGCCACAAGGACCCAGTGCGTATCTTGCCCTTCATCCACCATCTTTTGGAGCCGCTCAGTCTCGCTCATCTGGAGAGAGATGTTGATATCCATGTCTTTGCTCGTCCTCCAGACAGAGTGTGCCATGGCGGCATAGGATCCGGCGACAACACCCCTGATTCTAAGTCTCCAGGATGCCAGGGACCTCCTTTAGCAGTCGCGGGTCCGGAAGCTTGCGGTGTGGAGCGTCCGGAACCTTGTCGGCCTCGGGCATTGCTTCCACTCGTGGAGGGTCCGGAACCTTGTCGGCCTCGGACATTACTTCCACTCGTGGAGGGTCCGGAACCTTGCCCATTGCTTCCACTCGTGGACGAGCGCAAAACGGCAGGATCGGCTCCCTTCCTCGACCTCCGATGGAGCGCGGGCCGTGCAGGATGTGGAAGTGAGTCGTAGCAGGAGCCGCGAGCAGATCCAACGGGAGCTGGAGGAACAGAAGATGGCAGACAGATGAAAGGCCCAGAGGCTTACCTTGCTTCGTGACAGCGATGAGCATCCGCTCAGAAGGGGCAGGGGCGCGCACCGTGACGAAGCCATGCCGCAAGAACCCTCCTTTGTCACTCTCAGGAAAAAGCTGAGCTGACTGCCGAGCTCACGTTTTCCCAGCACACAAGCCTCACCAAATTCAAGCTGGCGTGATGTTGGCATCATGGCCGCTGCGCTACGCAGCCGCAAAGCAGCAAACCCAAATTCGTCCCCAAGGAAGTGCACTGGAGATGTTGCTGCAGGAGCTGGGGTGCTGGTCGCGAACAAAAATCTGGCGCCAGGAGCGCTGATGAGTAACCGAATGGGGTGATGCACAATGCCTGTGGTACGGGCATCATCAAGTCGATGTTTCATGGCGTGGCTGTCGCAGCATGGAGCAGTGGCTGCGCTTGCTGGATCCGTCGCTGCGTCGGCTTATGCTACGCCGCGCTCCGGCCCAGATCTGTGCTTGATGCTATATTCCCCTACCTTGCCACAAGCATTCACCTCAAATGAACAAAATTGAACACTTATTAAGTCTGAATTACAATATTCTTTTTATTTAAATATATTCATGGCTTTAATTGAGATGATGGTTAATAATATAATGTAACGTTCAGGTGGGACTTTATTTTATTTTACAAAATAAAAATAAGAATATGTATTTGATCAACAATATGCATTTATTAATCAACATCACTCTGTAATAACTATTTGAACTATTAGAAACATTCTAGAATAATTTGATATACTATGTAACAACCTTTGGTGTTCTTTTTATGTAAATGATTATGGAAATTAATTCTTTTGATATTTATTTTGTACAAATAAATTCTATGTTTAATATAAAATCCATTTATGCAATAACAAATTTGCCTAGAAAAGCAGTTAGAAATGGAGATGAAGAGTTTAGATTTCATTAAAGTTTCTTTACAGGTTGAACATTGAAGTTATTGGAGTTTACAGCAACCTAAGAGTCATACACATGCACATAAAAAAAGAACAAAAGTCCATAAAAAGAAAAGTTCAAAGAGGCAAATTTCTATGAAAAGATCCTATTCAAAGCATGCAAAGCATATATACTTGATGCCTAACCACTTCCCTAGATCACTTTAGCCCTAGTGCAAATTAGTACCAGATCTCACGATTTAAGTAAATCAAATCAAGCCCTCCAAAAGTTCTTGGCTATCTCTATTAGTATGAAGTATAGTGAGCAAGGGAAGGTCAAGGAGGAATTCTAGAGGCTAGAGAAGGCTTACATTTCAGCTTGTGTCTAATCGAAACCTGCCACACTTATATTGTAACTTAGGTTGTTCATACTTTCTATTTAATTTTTAATTATCAGGCTAACTAGTGGTTTTGAACTGGACCCTCATTAGTATTTATGATTGATTATTACCAACACAAATCATCTTTAAATGGATTATGAATAAGTGATAATGAAATTAGCTTTTTCTACCCTAATTTATATATAGGAAAATGGTTCACATAAAAACTAATCTGACAGGTATCAAAATCCAACTATGCTAATAATAGTATATGGTCATTTCTCTTTTCTTATTTATAATTTCTAATTTTAAATAATTTTCTAATATTATAGTGGTGCTAGTGCATGGAAATGGAATATAGAAATATATATAATCAATGCTCAAAAACCCTAGTTTATGTACAAGAGTAAGTGGTCTTAATTGAAATCAATTTAATGGCTATTAAACTACCATTACGCTAGTATACAACATCATAACCATATACCTAAATGTTATATCATCTTAGAAAGATGGAAGGCAATTAGAGTCTTTAGATTGATGGGCTAGGATTTAGAGGAACATTAAAAGAGGCAATGGTGGCTTTATAAGTAGTGCAATTTGTTCTAAATTCTTTTCCATGAAGCATTTAAATTGTTGTACACATGAAATTTCTGGAGAATCAGTTTATTAAACATTGTACCAAACCTTATAAATTTGCAGCTCAATTTGCCAAAACACTTGATATAATCCCTTCCATTAAGTAAAGAGCAATTATATATCGTAAGATTGGGAAAATGAACCAACACTAAATCATCCACTTTGTACTTCATAAATGAATGATAATGAGAGTTATAATATTGCTATTGTCCCACTTATATATGATACAAACATTTAGTAGACTTTGCTTGAATTAGTGGAAGGATGCTTATCAAATAATAATCTAATAGCAACTTATAGCAATTATGAAGGTAAACTCAACCTTGTTAACAATATCAAATTAAATATCACAAGCTCAAATGAATGGAAAATTATAATTAACTTCAATCGTCCTTTTATAGTATAAGGGGGAGAGGGGGTAATAAGCTTGGCACCAAATTTAGCTACACACATACTGGATAATACTATATTGCATCTCCAACCAATAAAAAAACTTATGGCACACTATGATATCCTATATACTTGCATAAAATAGGAGAGTCATGGTAAACATGTAGAAAACACAATTACTTTACTTGATATTTAGCATTTATAAGATGCAGAGTTTGATTTACATTTTCTTAATAAAGTTTATGAGGCTCAAAAAGTTAAATTATAAATCTAATATACTTAGCCTCCATAGAAGAAAGAGCAACCACAATTTGCCTCTTACTCATTTATGTGGGAAAATACAAGATCCAAAAGCTATGTGATGGTATTTACATTTTTAATATTGCCTTGAGGATGATATTTACTTTGTTGAGAATGATCCTAATAACTATTTGTAGCTAGTCCAATTGTATATAATTTTTTAAAAGAAAATCCATTGATGCTAAAATACAAACTCATCAGAAACATGAAAACAGAGCAAAGAAGGGAGAGGAACTCAAGAAAGGGTGTAACCATCAACTATAAAACTCCTTGAGTGATTCATAACTTTAAAATTATATATTTAAAGTTTTAAAAGCCACTAAGTTGTATAATTAACCAAGTTCTTTTTGTTCAATAATGAGGTGACCATAGTATGATCACCCTCTAACAACATTCAAGAACCATATAAATATGTATGAAGCTTTTTGAAACTATTGCTAAACGTTCCTTTCTTATTATGGAGTAGTTCAATTATATTGGTTATAATGTATAGTTAATATATGCAATGGGATGATGTTAATTAAGTACACTTGTGCTCTTTCATATTAATACACCCAAAACTAATATCATAAACATCCATAAATAAAATAAAAGGTCAAATATAGTCAAGATGCATTAAAACTAGAGGAGTCATTAACACCTTTTAAAGATTTGTA